CGTGGCTAATAAGCCACATCCAAACAACAGTATGTCGCTAGTAAACATTTTCTGTGTGAAACTCAGAGTCTGCTCACAGCAATTAGAATGCCACAAAATTTGGCAGCTCTCTTAGATTTTTTAGTAGATGCTCTCCTGGCAAATAGAAAGCATTCTTCCCCCAGGCTTGTCTGAGAGATTATTTGAAAGCTAATTCATTACTTAAAGTTAGCGAAACATTAATTCAGAAAAATAGACTTCATAGGAAGAGCGCACTGGAACACATGCAATCCTGTCTTGTTCAATTCATCCAAACAAAGCACAGGCAATATTCAAGCAAAATATTATAAACCCTGGGCAACATAGCATTAAGTCTAAACAGTGAGAATATTGTTGTATGTGAGAGGGAAAGGATGTAGGTGAAGGCAAGATGAAAGGTCTACCCCTGGACCTGCCACTATAATAGTAAGAGCATTACTCTGATTACTCCCGGCTTTATCTTTAAAGTGGCTTTCCCAAGATAACAGCAGCATGAAAAACTGTGGTCAGAAATGTCACAATGTCTTAACACCAGGGATAGAGGGATTTCCCCCCACCCCAGGAATAAATAAACATCTCAACAAGAACTGCATGCCCTTCCATGAAACTTAATTTTAGCCAATACCTAAGTCAGCAAAATCTCATCTGAGTTTCTCTAGAGGCAGAGAAGGATTTGCAAAGACAGAGGAGAATTTGACATGTAACAATATTCATGAATTTGAAGTGGGTTTTTGTATCACTGAATACATAATACAGACTCATCTCTGAATAATTTGATAGCAGTTGGACAAAATCACTGTGCTAGTGAACAGATGTATTGTCTTCTGGATTCAGATCAGGGGTGAAATCCAGCAAGTTCTGACAGGTTCTGGAGAACCAGTAGCAGAAATTTTGAATAGTTCGGAGAGCCAGCAAGTACCACATCTGGCTGGCCCCAGAGTGGGATGGGCATGGAGGTTTTGCAATATCCTTCCCCCAGGAGTGAGAGGGAATGGGGATTTTGCAGTATCCTTCTCCTGCCATGCCCACCAAGCCACACCATGTCCACCAAGCCACGCCCACAGAACCGGTAGTAAAAAAATTTGGATTTCACCACTGGTTCAGAGTATACATCCATCACTACGAGAAAACTCTTAGATGTTTGAAGTCCTTATCTTGATATAATTCAATTTATAGCAGGTAATGTACTTCTTAATTAATGCAATGAGTAGAACAACTTTTGTCCTGGAATAATTAAGGGCCATCTTTTCTTTCCTCTAGAAACCTGCAAGGATTTACAAGCTCTGCCTGAACCCCACCTGTATGTCAAGGATAAGATGATGGCATTGAAGGCATAAAGCAGGAGAAATATTTGCCAGAACCAGAGGGTAAAACTTGCTTTTATACTGAACTTGATCTATAAAATTAATGTCAAAGTTAAAAAGAAGGAAAGAAATTGTTTATCTCTTTTTAAAATGGCTCCTGAAGTGGAAAGGTTCTCTCTCTAAAGATCCAAACCACTGACCTGCGTATGTATGGTTTTTATGCAGTATCATAATTAATTCACAGAGATGGCAATATGTAGGAGTAGTGTCACTCTGAAACATCTATCAGCTTCAAACAGGATGATAAAATTGTTCCCCCAATTTTCAGGAAACTAATACAATGCCACAACTTCAGGAACTGGAAAGAGTGGTCAATATAAGTAAATGAAGAGATCCCAGCACAAGAGCTCAGCGGTCAGAATTTCTTTTTAAAAGTTTTGTGGGAAACAGCTTTCCTCCCTCCCTTACAGCTTTTTTCATTCTTTAAATAAGCAGTAAGTGAAGAGGTCTCGCATATGGAACAGAAAACCAATTAGGTAGGAAGTTTTCTGCTAGGTGCAGAGGACCTGCCTCACCAGAAGCTGCACTAAATATAGAGCAAAAATACTGAATCTCTGTCTAAGAAGAAATTAGCTTCCCAGCTCCTGAATGTATTTTTAGAGATGAGTGGGCTAGAAGCCTCCAAAATGTGGATTCCCCCCCCCCTCTGTAACTGATTATACTAACCTTCTCTGGTTAAGTATTTGGACTTTCAATTTTTCCCTTTTCTTTCCATACAGCCTTGCAGATTTTCTTCAAACCACACATTATTTCCTCCTGTGTGTCTAATATTTGAATTTGAAGCAAGCAAAGTCCTCTGGATATGCCCTGGCAATCCTTGCTGTACCTTGCTTTTCTTTTTTTAAAATGTGCTTTTTTCCTGAGTTTGTACAGTATCCAAAAGGTTAAAGGAATGTGTGTTTGAATTCAGGATGCATTAAGGATCTGGGAACAACATTATTACATATGGCTGCTGTATCTCTAGAATGTCTCAAATTATTTCCTGAGTCTATATAGCTATGGTGAAAGACCTAAATAAAGACTTGGCTCCAGTAGATATATTAATTAATTTGGGGTTAAGACTCTGATATTGAAATTTATGTGTCATCTTAAGACATACCAGAACCTTAACTCCAAAATTTCCAATATCACAGTCTCTTAACCCCTAATTTGAAGTGTTACAGGTGAACATGAAACTTTGGCTTTAGTATCAGTGAGGTTCCACAGAATATATTTTATCTGAAATGCCTATCATCTTCTAATCAATTGTGTAATTACAAAAAAAATCACTTTTCATAAAAATGAAGGCAGTGTCATTTGTAACACCAGTGTTTGCAGCAGGAAAACTTCATAAGAGAGGTCATTTATTTGCAATATTTCAGTATGATTTCATTCTGAAAGTGGTTTTAGTAAAAGGTTAGAATTAAAATATCTCAGAGGTGATGCTAGCATATAAATTAGCAGAGTTCATTTGCCCTTGGGCTTGTGATAGCCATGATAGACAATATACTTATACTTCATTATGTGCAGCAGCAAAAAGCAGAGAATGAGAAAACTATTTTTTATGAAATTATGAGAATGTCCTACTTGGGAAGATAGACCCTTTGCTAAGTGCTGCTTTATTGGGATTGTAGCGTATTTTACAGGGAGGCAGCTTTCTTTTTGGCATAGATGTAGATACCAACTTGATGGATATGGACTTCGAGGACAAAATATTGGCTCTACAATCTAATTCTTATATTTCTATGTGAACATTGGAATTGTTCATGTTCAATCCTACTAATGGCTGAAGGCACGTGGCATTTGGAAAAGTGAGTACAAGTTTTAATGCACCTGCCTATAGAGTTTGCAAGACCTTGTGGCTGTTGGACTGGCTTTCAATTATGTCAACTGAATCAATGGTAATATTGATGGTTCTGGAATAAGTTAGGGACGTCCAAATCGAAAAACTGTTAGTATGATCTGTAACAGGATTGATGACCATTGCTAGTGGAGGAATATTGTGTAAGAATGATCTGGTGAAATTAGGTTTCTTAACACAAGAGCCACGGTGGTGCAGTGGTTAGAGTGCAGTGCTGCAGGCTACTTCTGCTGCCTGTTGCCTGCCTCCAATTTGGCAGTTCTCATCAGGCTCAAGGTTGAATCAGCCTTCCATCCTTCTGAGTTGGGTAAAATGAGGAACCAAATATGTTGACTCTATAAACCACTTAGAGAGGGCTGTAAAGCACTGTAAAGCAGTTTATAAGTCTAAGTGCTATTGTTATTATAATACTAGAGGATGGATTTTGATTCATCTCTTTCGGATTCTAGTGTCAGTGGGCATCTGGCAAAATGCAAAAGTAAGTGGTATAAATAAAGATGGATGGTGTCATGCTGTTGTCACTAGTCCTGTGGTTTTATCTCATTTGGAGATCTACTCAAGACTTAATGGTAGATGAGAAATGAACAGCAGAGATTGTGAGGAGACTGGAACAAACTGTGAGGAAAACATGTTCATTTTGTCCTGATCTGAATGATTTCCAAGATTCTAATTTCAGGGGCATGTGAAACAAATCAATCATTTTAGAGTCCACTTGGGTTGTTATGCATTAAGAAGATATTTTTTTTAAAAAAGTTGATTATGTCCTTTCAGAGTATTTCCTAGAAGCAGCAGTGGGTGGAGTCAGAGAACAGCTTTGCTCTATTGTGCTTATATCAGTGGTGGATTGCTCCTGGTTCGCACCAGTTCGCAAGAACCGGTAGTAAAAAAATTTAGTAGTTCAGAGAACCGGTAATAACATTGGCTGGCCATGCCCCAGAACCGGTCCCCAGCCCGGTCGCCGCTTGCTTACCCCACCCACCTCATCAGAGGCTTTTTAAAAAACTTTTAAAAGCATTTTTTCTACTACCTCTTCAGCTGAAAAAATGCTTTTAAAAGTTAAAAAAAAGCTTCTGATGATTGTGCGGCTCAGCTGGGATCTTCAGAGGCTTCTGAAAACATTTTTTCTGCAACCTCTTCAGCCGAGGAGGTTGTAGGGAAAAAAAATCCCTTTAAAAGCCTCTGGCAATCCCAGATGACTTGCCTGATTGTCAGAGGCTTCTAAAAGCATTTTTTCCTGCAACCTCTTAAGGTTGTAGAAACAATGCTTTTAAAAGTAAAAAGAAAAAAGTTGGCCACGCCCACCCAGTCACATTACCCCAAGCCACGCCCACAAAATAAACCACACCCACAGAACCGGTAATAAAAATTTTTAGAACCCACCTCTGGCATATATATATATGCATATTCTTTCTAGCCAGGTTCCACCTATGTAAGCTAAGTTGTTCTTCAGCCCTAGTTAGGGCTTAAGCTTACAACTTAGCTTACATAGGTGGAACCTGGCTAGAAAGAATATGCACATAAAAGCCTATGAAAAAAGAAAAAGACATATATATATATATATTCTACGTGTATTGTATGTGTGTATTATGACTTTGCAGGCATGTGCAAAAAGGATGGAGCTTGCATTTTCCTTTTGATGAACTCATTGGGTCCTGCAAACAGACTTGCTATTTATGTTATGATAATGACAGATGTCCACCATTGCAGGGACATTCTGACTTTAGAATTTAAACTATAGATAAAGGAGTGGAATTTCTGTTGCTAAGTGATGCAGTCATAAGGTGTATTATTATGTGACTACATAGCTTAGTGATGGAAATCTCAGCAGTCCACCTGTTGTTATTGTTAAGGAAAGACTTACCCTGATCCAATCCATTCCCGGCTTGATTTCTCCAGCCCTAAGCCTTGGTAAGGTAAAAGATTGCCTCCTTTTCAAGTCTCACCCACTGCCTATCTCTTGCCCATCCATCTTTGCCTTTTTTGAAACCCTGAATAGCCGAACTTCTCGGTGGTACCAGTGCTGATGGTCCTTGGGCTAAAGTAGAGATCCAGAGCTTTCAATAGTCTCATTCCATTGTCACTGCCCTGCCAGCCTCTACCTCGGCCGTAGTGCTACCATGCTACTATCATTTCTGAAAAGTGCCATCTCAAGCCCTGTGCTTTGGCGATTGGCCCTAGGCCATGGTGTGAAGCCCTGCAGCATGTAGATCCAGCTTCATTTTGTGGTTTTGCTTGTGAAAAATGCTTTGCTTGAATCTTCAACAAAATGACAACAAAATGAAGAATCCTTCCTGCACAATCCACTCTCAACCAGTCCCGGGTTAAAAGTTTCTTTGGTATCTTCCACTTAGTTGAAATCTCAAATCAGCAGCAAGCTACTAGCAGCATACTAATTACATCTCTATATATAGCAATATGATGTTTAAGAACTGAGCATAAAATCATGACTCCTTAAAATCTGAATGATCATGTGAAAAAGCAGGCACAAAGAATACATTTTGCAAGTTTCTTTTGAACTGTCATAATAATAATCAAAGGATGTTCTCTTTTTTTTAATGCAGAGTTATCCATCAACTAAGCATACCTCTAAGAAATTACATCCAGATGTACAATAAGCCGTTGAAGGTGATACAGTCAAATGATCACAGTAATATTTGATGAAATCACTAGTTTGCATCTGATTGATGAAGTTATTATGAAGTTATTCCATCATGATCAATAACAGTAGAAGGAGATGAGATTGGTTTAAAGTGAGTTCTTAAAGTTCAACAACTTTTTTAAGCTGAACCTAGCAAAGGAAGTAAAGTAAAGGGAAGGCAAATGGTATTCATTGAGTTTGGTGGTTCCTTTGCAGATCTTTCATTACCAGGCACCAGTTCATCATTAATTCATGTATCAGTTTGGGAGAAGCTTGACACGCTCCCTAGATTTTGAATTGAATTGAATTCAGATATAATCTTGAAGGAACAATATATCACCACAGATCTAATTTTCAGATTTTGAAAATAATATATTTAAAGAACAAGTACATTTTTCAATACAAGTATCAGAATTCAAATTAGTGAAAGAAATTTCTTTTGCTACCTGTAATTCTATCAAAAAATTACCTGCAGCTTTTCAAAATGAGTAGTATCAACTTTGTTCCTTGGATGTATTGAAATGATAAATAATGGGCACAGACCAAAGAATTAATGGAATACATTGCCTATGTGCTTATTAGCAATACATTGCACATATATTTATATCTATTTTAGGATTCAGCATGAAATGTGACTAAAAACCCACTGGTAAATTAATTAAATTGTACATTTCTCAGAAATTCAGTAGTAATTGGAACTACTTCGCTAAAACTATTTGTGTTGGCAGATTCAAAGATCATAGACTTTGTGTGCAAATACCCTGGGCTTATTTTATTTCTGTAGGCCAAAAGATTAACAATCTTATTTGCTAAGTCTCTGAGAGAAAAAAATGGGATTATTACTTTTTTGTAGGCTATAATGGGAGGAAAAATGTTCTTAAAATGAAAGACTAAGGGAGGAAGGAAGAGGCTTGGAGGTTATTGTGCAAAACAGACAGACAGACAGGCAGGCAGGCAGGCAGGCAGGCAGGCAGGCAGGCAGGCAGACATAATCTTAGCACTGGTGGCTCAAGCTAACTTTGTCTTGTGTTGATTTCTCTTTTCCAGAAACAACAGAAATCATCAATTGGGGGTATATATAAATCAGGTAAGATACATTTTGTATTGGTGATTCCATCTAAAACACAAATTTGATTCAATTAGAATTTTCAATTCAATTTGAAAAGTCAGTTCAATTTAAATGGTTTAAATTTATTTGAATTTTGATTCATAAGTGCACTTATACAAATTTATTGAATCAAAGTGATTCGAAGGCACTTGATTTTGTGATTTGATTTAAGGAAGTGGTTCAATCAAACTGCTTTCAGAATGTACTTCCTCACTAGCAACTTATACCACCTTCTGGAAACATACAACCATTGCTGTGACAAAATAATAGTAATGGGTCAATAGTGAGAAAATAACTAACTTTAAATGGAAATGTCAATAGGATAAGGAACGCATCTACATTATATCAAAATCCAAGCATTTAACTTAGTAACCATGATGGCCTGATTCGCTCATCATCGTATGCTATGGTTTACTCAATCATGGATTATTGAATACATTCTGATGGCTAAGATCACAGATTATGTGCCCAGCTACCAAGCTTGCAAACTGGATTCATACAATATTCTAAAACAAATTCAAACAAGCAACATTAAGTGTTACTGCATTGTGTAAACTCAGTCAATGTGAGGTTAGGAAGGGCATGTTTTTCTTAACCAGTAGAAAAGATTCTCTTCTCTATGAGTTGCTTGAATTCATGACCATGCTGACTGCTAATGAGAACTAAAATCCAATGCAAGAGGGGAGTCACTATGTTCTGAGAGTAGTGTTGTCTCTGAACACAATTCAGAGCACACAATTAAGAAAGGCAAAGCTATTAAATACCATTTATGACTTGATTACATGAATAGTTGGTGCAATTTTGATTTCCTATCATTTTTAATTGAAGTATTATTGGTATTTTCAGATTGGCTGCAGGACAGATGCTGAATGATACCATATCGTAAATGGTTCTGGTGCTCCTTTAATTGTGAGGTTCTGAAGATGAATACTTTCATTTTAAGATTTTTTTGAAAATTCTACTCTTTAATTACTGAGTACTGATGGATCTGAACACATTTTTTTCTAGATGGTTTTCATAACATTGAACAGAACTAATTTTGTTGCTTGTTGATGTGTTGACAAAATTTTGCTTGTCTTTTCATAATCACCATCCTGCCTTCTATGGCATTCACAAATTAGATTTTGATGTTAGTTGTAGATTTAATCTGGATAAGCAAAATATCACATATTTTATTGAAATTACTTTTCAATAAATTCTATTATTATAAATTAGTTCTAAATTCTAAGTCTCTTAGTTAATCTGATCATCAATAGCAAACGTTGATGACAGATGATTAAGAAATTTCATTCAAAACATCCTTTATATTGTTTTCCTTTTGACATCAATGTTTTCATCATCATAAGATTTATGTAACACATGTTTTCTACTATATTAAATAAATGCACATTTACATTTTCATATGTCTACTGCTATGTAGAGAAAAGTCAGCTAGGTGCACAATGGCAGCAAAGTTACAAAAATCTGCAAGCTGCTAAATTGAAGAAATATTACCATACTTACTGCATATAAATAAATTAAATTATTTTAAAAGAAACATTGATAATTTATCCACTTGGATTTATTATAGGTACTCATTTGTTTAATGATGATTCAAAATTATGACAGTCTTGGAAAAAGTGATGGAATGTTGTCTGGATTCCTAGAAGGAAAGGAGTGCATTCTAGAGGGACAAGAAACATTGCAATTTGTGTGGGAGAAAAAGGCTGAAGACAGTTCCTCTCTAACAGTTCCCTGAGCATATGTTTTATGGTGCTTGTAATCTGCTTTTGTTTGGCAAGATTGCTGTCTATAGATAAGAACAATAAAGGAAATTTTATCTCAACATGTCTTTCTTGGTTTTGAAGTCTGACAAAAAATGACTTATAACCAGTCCTTCAAGTTGCACATCCACATGGTTACTTGATTGCAATTCAAATGCTTTGCAACCAGTTCACGTTTACAATAGTTGCAGCATCTTGCAGTCACGTGTCCTTCCCAACCAGCTTCCAAAAGAAAATTCAATAGGGGAGCAAAATTTGCCCAATAACCACTGTGAATCACTTAACAACCAGAGTAAAAATGGTTGTAAAATCAAGTCTAGTCATGTGATGACTCACTTAACAATTGCATCACCAAATGACCAAAATTCTGGTCTCATTTGTGATTGTAAGTCAAGGACTACCTGCCTACCTGCCCAGGTCTGAAGATTTCCATGCATTTTCTCTGATGCTGAAGTCCTTCTAGAGTTTTGCCCAGCCAACAATTCAAAGGGTTTGTTCTACTTTCAGTCTTTTAAAAATTTATAGCTTTCTTTTACGATATTAGCTCTATTTGAAATTTCTGAGAGCTTTGTAGAATAAACAATTTACATTTTTTAAAAATCAAAATTAATTTTTCACTAGGCTGCCTTCTTTTTTGGCATATATGTTTGCTTATTTTAGCTTTGTACTTTCCTTTTTCTAATTCTAATCTTTTAACGCCACTGCAGCTGGAATTCTGTTGCAAATCTCTTCATGGCCCAAACTCCATCTTAAAGTTCTATTTTTTTTTTGTGTCTATTCATTGTCATCACTAAAAAAAAAATGCTTTGTGATTTTTGTTTTGTATTCTTTAAACTACAGTATCTGTGAAGCTGTAAAAGTACAGCTGGTCACTGTAAATAGTAATTTTTTTGTTCTGAAAAAATTTACAAAATTATGCTGGTTCGGTGGGCATAAATACTTTATATCACCACAAGAAGCCTTGCTTAGAACATTACTCTCAAGGGGTTCATTGCCAATATAATGGTGCTCACACTAAATACTTTTCCTCCTTCTAAGAATGTTTGTTGCTATTGCCTATTGCTTTTATTCCATAAACTGTCCTTTTCTGTTTGCATCCATTGACTTGTTACTGTAATAAGATATACAAATCTCTCTCATACTGATCGGCACCCGTCTTGAAACAAACACTAGATGAAGTCAGAAAAGGAACTCTAAGCAACAATAAATGGGGCTATCTCAGGAGTGAAATCCAGCAGGTTCTGACAGGTTCTGTAGAACCGGTAGCGGAAATTTTGAGTAGTGCGGAGAACTGGCAAAATACCACCTCTGGCTGGCCCCAGAGTGGGGTGGGAATGGAGATTTTGCAGTATCCTTCCCCTGCCATGCCCACCAAGCCACACCCACCAAGCCACGCCCATAGAACCGGTAGTAAAAAAAAATGGATTTCACCACTGGGCTATCTGAAGAACTTATAAGGAACAAAAACTCTATAAAAATTCTTCTTCAGGAAGTATGCCTTTTTAAACCCAAGGAAATAGACTCCATGTGACTGTGGTTGGAATGGGTTCCTGCAGGAAAAAAAAGGAGATATTTCCCATACAATGATAAATGTTGAAGGCCAAGATGTACATGCAACCTGTGTAACAAAGCCCTACTTAAAACAGAAATAAAATAACAATAATATTGAGATCATTTAATACAGTGTTATATTAAACAAAATCCAGAATTATTGTACAGAAAGTGGCCAAGTGCACAATACTGAGAAACTGGTTTATCAATAAATAATAAGAATCTGCCTTATTCTCATGGGTTCACACATGTTGTTGATTAAGCCTCAGAGGTTGTATTTGTATACAGTACTAAACAGGTCAGCAAACAAAAGAGTTGGGAGGGTGATGTCAACACATATATTCATCATACAACATGAATCATATTACATAAATCCCATAATTTAGGAAAGGCTGTGATTGGGCTTGTGACTTATGATTGGTCATTTAAAAAAATCATTGTAGTTTGTAATGAATGCCTATTAGCTTTTTCAGACCAGAATATACTTTTATGGTAATTCCATTCAGTTTTGGGATCCATTTCCCCCACAACTTTTCTGCTTTTTCTCTTCCTTCCATTTCCCCCCCTTTTTTCCATACCTCAGTCTCCATATTTTGCTTTTTAAAAATATAGTCTTCTTTCTTTAATTTTTTAAATAAAGCAATATCAAAATGGTATTTGAGAAATAATAAGAGCAGTCTGTTCAGGAATCTTATTTAGAATACTCTGTGCATCTAATGTTATGTGATCAGGGATTCAGTATTTTAAAATCAGATTTCTTAAGGTCAGTAAAATGCCACTGTTTTGACAGTAAACAGTGATCACATAAACCTCTTGCGTCCAGATGGCTGGTTGTTTACTAGCAAGGCAGTGCTGATAAATTCTCCAATTAGATAGGCATTAATATTACATTGCTTGAGATTCTAAACACAGTCTGACCTCATGGAGTGAGTGAAATCTTGCTTCATCTCCTCTGCTTGTTCACTAAATATTACTCTGCTTCCATAGCAGAATCCTCTTAGTGTAATAAGTGCAATCAGTTATGGTAACAATGAGAAACAAAATAAGAATAATATGATAACTCAGCCTATTTTAAGAGATCCTGCTACTTAGTTAAAACCTTATCTTTCCCTAGATCCAATGCAAATGTGTGATTTCCTCTGAGAAAACTGAGTAGGCAGCCTCTTTTTCTTTCAGGATTTTATTTCCTTGGTGATAATCCAATTAAAGACCACATGTGAGCAGAAATTAGCCAAAATAACATGGGATTATCAGTTGTATCTCTTGGGGACATCCTCCCCTTATCATGTTGTGTCATTTCCTTTTATATTACCATCTCTCCTCCCACCCCCACACTATTACCCCCAATAGTGTCCATGCCAAAGACTGGAAGAAAGCAACAGATCATTTCTATTGTTGTCTGAATACACCGCTTTCCGACAGCTTTACCATGAGAGTAGGTTAGGCAAGGACTGCAGTTTATTAGTGAAAATTCCATTATAGTTAACAGCTAACAACACAGAGATCAGATTCAGTCCCAGCATATGTATTGCCTTATGAAGCTATGAAATTCCATTAAGCGTATAAAACATTTGCCCATAATTTCATTCAGAAAGGGGAAATGGTTCAAAACAAAATGCGATGATTTAAATTTTATGGCTTCATCTCTTTTGAGATGAAATACAGTTTATGTTTTCTATATTAAATATAGATTATCACAAATTCTTAAAGGCATGAGCTCCATAGCCATGAACTCCCTAATCTTGATTATCCTAATTTTATTACATAATCTGTTTATTGCTTAGATATAATATTGTTTGCAAATGTCATTATTTCAAATATGATGTTTCCTTTGAAAATGTAAGAATTGGTTTAGCCCAACTACCTATAGCATAAATTGCTGAAATGCTGTAACAAGATACTTTACAAAAGTTTAGCCTGACATATTCTACAGTGTAGGATAGATGAAGCTTCAATCTTAACAAATTAACATTATTCTTCATTCTGCACTTTATAGTTTTACTTAAGATCTATTGAAATATATAGGACACTGACTTTCATCACCATCATCATTTTAGCCATTGTCCATCTACTGCAGGATGAAGGCCTCTTTCACCTGTTTCCAACCAATACGGTTCTGAGCTTTCTTTTGCCAATTGGGTCTGCAATACTTGCTGATGTCGTTGATCCATCTTGCTTTAGATCTCTTTCATAGACGCTTTTTATCAAGTGGGATCCATTTTATGACTGGCTTGTCCACCTGTCATCAGTTCTTACTATGTGACCAGCCGATTTCCATTTCAATTCTTTTAATCTCTTGATGATATTGTATACTTTTGTTTCTTCTCTAATCCATGTGCAGGTTTTCTATCTTGTCTTGTAATGCCGAGCATGTACCTTTCCATGGCTCTTTGCGCCACTTGTAGCTTTTGTATCGATTGTGAGGTTAGTGTCTATGTTTCACTGGCATATGTTAGAGTAGGTAGCATACACTGATCAAAAACCTTTCTCTTCAGGCATAGAGCGAGGTTGGTCTTGAAAATTATGCTCAGCTTGATGAATGCCTGCCAACCACATTTAATACGCTGTTCAATTGAAACTGATTTTTATAAGATATAAATATGACTATAAGTTAATTTGTAGACCACCCATGTTTCAGTCCTCTGTAACTGTAACAGCTATTTTTAAAGGTGAAAAGAAAAATTAGAGTGTAGATATAAACACTGTTATTTATTTCCTTTCTTTTTAAAATTAAGGGTCTTCTGAAAATGTTAGCATGTTAGAACATTGCCTTTAATGAAGACAAAGCAATTTAATAAGCCTAGCTTGACAACTAAAGAGTAACTGCGTAAAATTGTATACATAGCAAATTACAGAACAATTTTAAAAATGCAAATTCAGTACAAAAACCTACTGAGTTCAGAGGACCCTGTTCCCAGACTGAATTAGTTCCAAAATTACTCTGGAACTAGACCTTTCGAGTTTAATGATACCTTTTCTCAGACATGTGTCTATATCTTCAGAGCAATTATGAATACTTTGAGGCTAGTTGTATTTTATTTTTCCCTTCCAGTAATTTTTGAGAAATGAATGGAAGAAATATAACATTAAAGTGATGAGTTCTAGATCCAGAAGATTTCAAATTCTGCTCCAATCCCAGATTGTTTGTATAAAAATATATAAGAATTGAAATATTAAAACGGACAAGAGATGATGGATAGAGGAAATGTTTTGTAACACAAGATTGGCTTGACTAGGAGCTAGAACAGAGGCAGAAGCAAGAAATAGGGGGAATATTATTATACATATTTCTATATCATATACTAAAAGTATATGCTAGATGTAAAGATTAGATGTTGAAAGATGTATGTTTTAATGATATTGTTTTTGTCATTAGAAGGGCAGACTAAAATGCTGAACACTAAATAATGAAGGCCTATATTTCAACACAAATATGTATAATAATATTACAATTACATACAGTAAGTATGATTTAAGTAACAAATATTAATACTACCATTACTACTTGTAT